ATTTGACTTTTAAGGCATTTTTTTTTAAAGATTTTATTTATTTATTATGTATACAGTCTTCTGCCTGCATGCCAGCAGGAGGCACCATATCTCACTCAAGGTGGTTGTTAGTCACCATGTGGTTGCTGGGAATTGAACTCAGGACCTCTGGAAGAACAGTCAGTGCTCTTAACTGCTGAGCCATCTGTCCAGCCCGGCATTTTATTTTTTGCAGTACAAGGAACAGAACCCAGACCCCTGTGAATGCTGGACAAGAGTTCAAAAACTGAACTATGCCTTTAACCCTTCGTTTGTTTGGTTTTTTGTTTATTTTTTTATTTTTTTGTATTTTTTTTTTCCGTATGTAGTTCTCCTGGCTCTCCTGGAACTCACTTTGTAGACCAGGCTGGCTTCAAACTCAAGAGATCTGCTTCCCTTTGCCTCCTGAGTGCTGGGTTTATTTGTTTTAATTATTTATTTGGTTTTTCGAGACAGGGTTTTTCTGTGTAGCTTTGGAGGTTGTCCTGGAACTTGCTCTGTAGACCAGGCTGGCCTTGAACTCAGAGATCTGCCTGTCTCTGCCTCCCGGGTACTGGGATTAAAGGTCTGTGCCACCACTGCCTGGCTGATAGCCAATTCACTATGTAGACCTGGCTGGATGAGAACTAAGATAAGTCTGCTTCTGCCTCCTGAGTAAAAGTATGTATCACCATGTCAGACCATGCAATTTTAAAAAGATAAAGATTCAAATCCCAAAATATTTACATTTTAAAAACCTTGTGCTTTATAAAAGCTCATGTTTAGTTTTTGGTTTTTGTTTTATCATAGCTCATCTTACAGGCAAACTGCCAAGACTCAAACAAGTAAACAGATATTTAACAGTGAAGTTTCCAGTCACCCCTCAGTCTTAGCTGTTCATGAGGTAATTTTAAATTACAAGTCTAAGATTTTCTATGAACCAAGCAGGAACTAAATAAGGAAATACAGGATTGTACAAAGGACAACTGTGAGGACACCAGTGATAATATGGCCATCATGCCCAGCACCTCTTCCTTACTCTACTTTCCCCCCCCACACTATTGTACTGTTTTTAGTTTTGTTGTTTTTTTTTAAATTTTATTTATTTATTATGTATACAGTCTTGTGCCTGCATGCCAGCAGAGGGCACCAGATCTCATTCAGGGTGGTTGTGAGCCACCATGTGGTTGCTGGGAATTGAACTCAAGACCTCTGGAAGAACAGTCAGTGCTCTTAACCACTGAGCCATTTCTCTAGCCCCTGTTGTTTACTTTTTTAAACTAAAGGATCTCTTGTATCCTAAGCTGGCCTGGAATTCACTACATAGCCACCCCCATCCCCCAAAGTCCCAGTATCACAGGTATGTAATACCACCCCATTTCTCCTTTATCATTACCTTTCTCCATCCTCAACCACGTTCTAGAACCACTGATATTTTTTATAATGGTTTATTTGTTTTTATTTTATGGGCATCGGTGTTTTACATAAAAGTATGCCCGTGTGAGGGTGTCAAATCCCCTGAACTGGAGTTACAGACAGGTGTGAGCTGCCACGTGGGTACTGGGAACTGAACCTGGATTCTCTGGAAGGGCAGCCAGTGCTCTTAAGCTCCGAGTCGTCTCTCCAACCCCTCTAGAACCATTTAAAGCAGAGTTTCTTTCCTTCTTTCCAGTTATGACCACTAAGCCTAAACCTGTGTTGCCCAAAACCAGGAAGGGGGAGGGGCTAACATGCTCCTTAGTTAATTGCAGAAAGAAAAATTAAAATGTGTCTACCAGCAACAACGCTTTCGTGGGGATTATTATCCTCTTAACTCATTTCCTTCTTAACCTGTTTCATTTCTCTATCTCTTAATTATCAATTCTGTTTCTGATTCTTTTTTTTATTTCTTTTTGGTTTTTTGAGTCAGAGTTTCTCTGTAGCTTTGGAGACTGTCCTGGAAGTAGCCCCTGTAGACCAGGCTGGTCTCAAACTCAGATCCACCTGCCTCTGCCTCCCAAGTGCACCACCACTGCCAGGCTCTGTTCCTGGTTCTTTCTGTTCCTTCTTAGTCTGAAGGCAAAATGATTTCCTTTTCTGAAAATTTAGAAGGACGCATAGCAAAGACTATGCAACAGCATACAGCTCAATCAAGAAAAACACCAGTATTCAAGAAATTATCTACTATCTACTGTGAATGCAGAATTGTGACAGCAACACTGGCCAGGGCCTGGCAATCTAGTTTAAGAGATGATGCCTAAATGCACAAAAGGATCAAACATAAAGCCATCTGAAGAGTGTAGTACATCATTCAAAAAAAAGGCACACACAGAGAGATGGATATAGTAGAAAACACCTGTAGTCATCAAAATCTGGAGACTGACTTAGTATTTGGAGTCCAAGGTACACCTGAACTACACAGCAACATGGTCTCAAGAAAACAACAACAACAACAACAACAAAAAAAAAAAAACAAAATCAAAGCCAGGCATGCTATGAGTTCAAAGCCAGTCTGGTCTACATATCAAATTCCAGTGCAACTAGAGCTACATAGAGAGACCTATCTCAAGAACAACACAACCATAAATCTAAACAAAAAAGCCTCGAAAAAATGTCTTTCAATTTCTGCACTGGGAAGACAGAGGCAGGCAGAATTCTGTTAGTTTAAGGGTGGCCAGGTTTACATGGTTCCAGGGCAGCCAGGCCTACATAGTGAAATGAAAAAAAAAAAAAAACTCGGGTGGGGGGATTTGAGGGCTGGAGAGGTGAGCGGTGCTCTTGCAGAGGGACCATGTTCAGTTCCCAGGACCCCAGCAGGCAGCTTACAAACCACCTGCAATGCCAGCTCCAGGATGAGCCAACAACTCTGGCCACCACACACAACTTTAGAAATGTCACTAATAAATCATCTTTAAAGAAATTATTAGAAGAACCAGGCAGTGGTGGCACCTGCCTTTAGATCAGCACTCAGAAGGCAGAGGCAGGCAGGTAGTATGGACGCCAGCCTGGTCTATAGAGTGAGTTCCAGGACAGCGAGGCCTACAGAGAAACCCTGTCTTGAAAAACTGAATAAGGAAGAAGAACTGTCGAGTTGGTGGATTTATACTTGACAGTTTCACTGGACCATGGTTGTTACCGTGCTCCCATTTATGCAAAGGACTCCTAAGTTTTCAAACTCTGGTAACTTTTCTGGTCCACTTAAGGCTTATAACCAGCTCAAATGCCAGTCCTTTTTGGTTATGCTGTTATGTACAACTGCCATTTTACTCTTAGAAAAGTGGCATACGGCCAGGCCCTGGGAAACCCTTCTCTAGAAGACCCATCATTTTTTGTTCTCAGGGCTCCTTTAGATTGTTACTTGTGCTTTTCACCAAGTGAAATCTCCTTGGGAGCCCCTAGTCCACAATTCTGATCAAATAATATAGGCACGTGGTATCGGAGGGTTTTTTTTTTTTTTTTTTTTTTCTTTCACACAGGATCTCACCATGTAGGTTTAGCTAGCCTACAACTCAGAGATCCACCTGCTCTGAGGAATTTTTGAAGGGGGTCAGGAGATTGTTGCTCAGGACTGTATGTATCCCACGCTGCTTCAAACAACTTGTATAGTTTAGGATGACCTTGAACTCAACTCCCCTGCATCTACCTCTAAGAGCTGGGATTAAAGGCTTATAGGACCATGCCGAGGCCTTTTTATGCTGGACAACGGATATTACATACAATAATTCTTTCTAGAAATTCATATATGACACACATTGGTATTTCCTTTTAAATAGCTACAAGAAAATTTATTGGGTTGGAATGCCTTGTTTTATTTGGTTATTTTTTTTTTTTGAGACAGTGTCTCATGTGGCACCAGCCAGTTTTGAACTCACTATGATCTTCCATGGCCTCCTTCTCCCCTAGTGCTCGCAGGTGTGACACCATGCCCAGTCAATCAGGCCTCTGACCTCCCATTTGGTGGATGTGGGGAAGGAGGGGCATGCATGACACAATGCACTTGCGGAGGTTCTCTCCTTCCACCTTTACACAGGTTCCAGAGACTGGACTAAGGTGCTCAGGCACGTGTGACTAGGCTTTAACTTGCTGAGCCACCGTACTATCAATGTGACCCAGCAAAATCCATGGGATAATTCATGAAGGAAAGTCAGCAAAAAAAAAGTCAAGACAAATGTTCTCATTCTCACATTATGGTGAACATCTGACAAAGCACGCTGGGAAAATGCCTAAATAAGCATTTAAAATAACACTGTAGGTACCAAGAGAGCAATAACTGGCCCAAGACATAAGATTCCAAAATTATGGTGGTTTAAATGGTTAAAAACAAAAACAAAACAGCATCTGTTGGAATAGAGCGAGTCTTTTAAATTTTATATTGATACTCCCAAATAAGCTCTGAGAACTGTTCTTAAAGGTATTCTGAAAACTCTCAAAATAGATAATAACCATCACTACCTGGTACCAATGAGTTCCTCAGCCCAAAGGCACTGATCACAGGACAAACCTGGGGATTTGGACATTTTAAGACGCTTATCAACAGTTGTATAAGACAGTGGCTCAGATGCCCATCATTTCATCAAGAGTCATATGCTCACTTTCTAGAACAAGTAAAAGCTATGCAGTTCTGTCAGATACTTATCTGTCTGGAATTTATTCTACACCTCCTTGGTTATTATTATTTTTTTAATGTTTTCATGTGCATTGGTGTTTTGTGGGCACGTGTGTCTGTGTGAGTGTTACAGACAGCTGTGAGAGCTGCTATGTGGGTGCTGAGAGGTGAACCTAGGTCCTCCGGAAGAGCAGTCAGTGCTCTTAACAGATGAGCCATCACACTAGCCCTTCCTTGGTAATTCTTAATCTGAGGACCTTGGACATTTTTATATTTCAAAACAAGTTAATATGACAAAATACCCAGATGATGCAATACATACATAGGTTTGGGCTTCTAGCTATACGACCATTCAATAAATGTGTAAGAGTCACTGGTTAACACATCATCTTTCGATTTAACCGACAGCACTACTCACCTTTAAGGCAGAGGCTAAGCTGGTCATATGCTCATGGAGGGTACCCTCAGACTCCTTATAGGTCAAGCAAGTGAACTGGTACTCTTCAGGATCAAAAGCATCAGCCCCCTGCTGCTCCACATCACTGGCTACTCCCACATAGTAGTCCTCTATGTCCCCAGGGTCCTCTTCCTCTTCTTCCTCTTCCTCACAGTTTGGGTCATAGTCCTCTTCATTGCTGTCAGACCCCTGGCTGTTCATGTCCACGGACATCTTAATATCCAGCCAAGCTGCAGGTCAGGAAATCAGTTGCTTTTTTCCTCCCTCCAACTTTATCGTTTTCTCAAATGCATTAGCGTTTTTGTCTTCTGAGAGAGAGGAAAAAAAAAAGTGTAACTATTTCTCTATTAGAGATTACAGTGGAAATCACCAAGAATCAAAATAACCCAGCACTAACCCTGCTCCTACTATAGCCTATCTCAATTCTTAAAGGTGTGCACTGCCAACCACCACTGCCCAGCTGTCTATCTCAATTCTGGTTTCATGCAGAACACCTCAGTGTCAGTCTCGATGGCCTATGCTTATCAAAGAGAAATCCTTTCACTGAGACAGAAACCCATGATGACAAACATGAAAGGCATGAAAATGCAAATAAGTCTTCCCCTTGACAAGGATTTATATTCCAAAGACACTTGCCTTCAACCCTGAAATTAATTCAAACCTGGTACCAACATGGGTAGAAGTCACTCAAGTTGTTCCCTCTCTCTATACAAGAAGCACTCACACACAGACATACACAATAAACTAATAGCTTTTTTTTTTTTAAGGACTCCAAAATTCCAATGGATTTGTCATTTTTTACCAGAGTTCTTCAGGGAAAAATGTATTTTCACCACTAGCTATACAGATGGAGGATAAAGACTTAGCTACTCAGTTTTAAAGTTGTACTAATCATGCCTCAGTAATGACAAAGAGAATACACAATTAAGGATACAGTTCTATCTCACTATGACTTGTAGGGAAGAAAATTGTCATATATCTGAAAGATAGATGCATAGGTAGAAAAAAAAGTCTCATCCTTCAACACAGCTTCCTCTAGTCTACCAAGTTAACTAATTTTCCAACTTTAAGGCTTCTGCTAAAGCCTTGGATGGCTGAGTGTCTGCAACTAGTCCTTAAGATGTTGAGTCAAAAGCTGGGCAGTAGTGGCCAAACCTTTAATGCCAGCACTCCAGAGGCAGAAGCAGACAAAACTGAATCAGAGGCCAGCATGATCTACAGAGTAATCCTGCCTCAAAATGGGGGGGAAGGGGGGAAGGCAGCAGCTGATGCAGGAGGATTGGAGTTCGTGGCCAGGATATCTATAGTACAAATACTTCAGAAAAAGACAAAAAATAAAATAATCTAAAAACAAAAATTAAATTAAAAGTCTGGCACTGGTGGATCACACCTTTAATCTCAGCACTCGGGAGGTAGAGGCAGGTGGATCTCTGTGAGATCACAGAGAGATCTCGCTCTGGTCTACAGAGCGAGTTCCAGGACAGCCAACGCTGTTGTACAGACAAACCCTGTCATGAAAAAAAAATATTGTAAGACACCATAGCCAACTTAAAAGCACATTCTTAAAAGAAGGGTTTTTCTTCAAGACAGGGTCTCACTACGTAGCACTGGCTGTCCTGGAATTCACTATATAGACTAGGCTGGCCTGAAACTCACTATTTACACCAGGCTAGCCTCCAAACTCATAGTAATCCACCTGTCTGTCTTCCAGATGCTGAGATGTCAGAGGCATGCATCATACCTGGCTCACCTTTTCTTTGACTCAGGTTTTTCCCTGATCCTGGGCTCACCAACTAGCTGGAGGAGCTGGCCGGCAAGCCTTAAGAATCCTTACTCTGCACCTTCAGCACTGAGTTGCATGTATACCCACCTGCTATGAAATAATCCTCTTATATACTGTAATGATGTCACTCAAATATAAAAAAGCTGACTGCCCAGTAGCCAGGTGAAAATATAGGCAGAGCAACCAAACTAAGGTTGATGGGAAGGAGGGTGGAGTCACCGGCCAGACAGAGAACCAGTTGGTCACATAAAATGGGATAGAGGTAAAAGCCAGGAGCCTCAAAAGAAAAACAAAACAAAAATAAAAGCCACGAGCCTCGGGCCAGTTTATAGATTAATAGAAATGGGTTGGGTTAAGTTGCAAGAGCTAGTTAGTAACAAGCTGAACATTTACAATTAATATAAGCTTTTGTGTGATTATTTTAAAGTGGCTATGGCTGCCAACACCCATCACCATCAAGCTTTTCATGAGGTTGCTAGGGATTAGAATTCAGATCCTCCGGTTTTTGTGTCAAGCATTTTACTGAGTGAATCAGAACTTCTGCTACTGCATTTTGTTATGGTTAAACTGAACTATGGTATTTGTCTTCTTTAAGAGAAAAAGTTAGTCTGTCAGGGGATGCCTAAATCCCAGCACCAGGGAGGCAGAGGCGGGCAGAACTGAGTTCGAGGCCAGCCTGGTCTACAGAGTGAGTTTAGGACAGCCAGGTTTACACAGAGAAACCCTGTCTCAAAAAACCAAAAGAGATAAAAGTTAACCTTGGAACGAAAGATGGTTCAATGGGTAAAGATGCTCACCTCCAAGCCTAGCAACTTGAGTCCAACCCCTGAATCCACATATGAGGAGAGAACTAACCAAAGGTGTACTCCGACTCCCACATGCAATACACACACATGCACATCAACAGAATAAAATTAAGGAAAGAGTTAATGTTTAAATCACCTGCAATTTAAGATCTTTCCTGAAGGTACCACCCAAATAGTCTGTTTCATATGATTTCCATCTGAAATGAAAAGAGACAATATGTATGTTTTAAAAACTGATATCCTGCTCTTGCAAGTTTATTATTTTTGTTTCTTTTGAACAGGGTCACCATATAATGGCTGTCTTGAAACTCTATGGTAGACCAAGCTGGACTTGAACTCACAGAACCACCTGTCTCTAATACTCAAGTACTGGGATTAAAGGCTTATGCTACACCGCCCAGCTGTGTTTTGGTTTATTTCACATGGCTGTGGGTGGTGTGCGTCCCTGAGTGGAAGTCAGAGGATAGCTAATGGAAGTATGTTCTCTCCTTCAACTCTTGTGAGGTCCATGGATTTAACACAGGTCTTTAAGATTGACAGCAAATGCTTTTACCTGCTGAGCTATTCCAGTAGCCCATTCTATCTTTGGTTTTCTCTGTAGCTTTAGAGCCTGTCCTGGAACTCGTTCTGTAAACCAGGCTGATCTTGAACTCACAGAGATCTGCCTGTCTCTGCCTCCTGAGTGCTGGGATTAAAGGCATGTATCACCACGCCCAGCCTATTCATTGTTTTTGAGACAGGATCTTAATATGTATCCCAGGTCTGTTCTCCTATGGAATGCAGGAACTGTAAGGTATGTGCCACTTCACCCAGTTTTCAAGTTAGCATTATTTATCTAGCAGTAAGAGAACTGAATCCAGAATCTCACACTTGTAACCCCGCCCCCCCCAGGGTCTAAGTAGCTCTGACTGTCCTGTAACCATGCAGACCAGGCTGGCCTTGAACTCAAGAGTCGATACGGGCTCTACCTCCTCAGTACAGGGATTAAAAGCGTGTGCCAGAACACCCAGCCCCATTCCATTTTACTTATTAAGTTGCCTATGCAAGCCCAAAATTCGCTACAACCTCAGGTACTAATCCTTCATTTCCGCTGGGGGGGGGTGTTTACCAATGCATTAAATAGGCTAGCTAGCCCAAGATGTGCCAAGGATTCTCCTCTGTCTCCATCTCCCACTGTTGAATAGGAATACTGGGAGATATACACTTTAGTGCCTGGCCCATGCATGTAATCCCAGCACTTGTGAGGTGGAAGGAGGGTCAAGTCATCAAAATTTGAGGCCAGTCAGGGTTCATGTCTATTGTAATTGATTTACAATAAAAATGCACCTCATAAGATGGCCATCAGGCAATATTAATATCTATTCCCCTGGATATTATGTGACCATGGGTATATGCTACTGCCAGAACAAGACCAAGAATGTAGCAGTGAGAATTCTGAGACAAAACAAAACGGCTATGACCTCAATTTCTTCAAAACACTGAATTGTTCTGGGAATGTATTTTTATGCTCCTCCCAAGTATAGCCGATTAGAAGTTGAGTTTACTTCACGTTACTCATTACTGCTTGCTGCTGTTTCCAATTAAGTGTTTTAAACTATCCTTTATATGCCTGTATAGAAAAAACATGGTGCTTGTCCTTGATTGTATACAGCTTGAACTCATGAGAACTTTACACATGTGGTTTCTCTTAACCCTGAGCGTAGAAACTGACGCTCTGAATAAAGCTGGTTATAGCATGAGACTTTAGCCTGCCTCAATCATTAGGACATGGATCCTACTATCCAAGATCGGAATATTTTCTTTTTATATCTACTGGTCTTTCCATTAGGGTTTTTTGGACAACCACAGCTTATAACTGCAAAAAAAAAAACCCAAAACAAACCAAAAACACCTTCCACTATAAATAGGTAGGCAAATACAAATCAGAAATCAAAGTCCAAACAATTACAATGGAAGAATATTTCCAAAAAAGTGAAAGAACAACCACACACTGTGGTGCACATAGGAGACAGGAGATGAATCTCTTTGAGTTGAAGGCCAGCCTGGTCTACAGAACAAGTTCCAGGGCAGCCAGAGCTGTTACAAAAACCCCGTCTTGGGGGAAAAAAAAAAAAAAAACACACAAACACAAGAAAACGGAGTCTTTGTTCAAAGGGGCCAATGGGCTACTTTCTTAAACCAGAACATATTCAAGAAGTTAAATATGCCTATATCTCAGACAGGAATGACATAATTAGTACTTTTTCCAAAGTCATCTTCATGAAACCTGCCACTCATTAAAGCTGGCCTCCAAGACACGGTGGCATGGTCACATACAAAAGGATAAGATCTCTTAAAATTGACAAGAGCACAGAAATTTGCTTGGTCTAACAGACGTTTACTCTAATTATAGTACTTGGCCCTCAATGGTCATTTATTAACTACATTTTCCAAGAAAACTACTTGGGCGAAAAATACCAATCAGCAACTTGTTTAAAAACTCCGCACCGGCCAGGCATAGTGGCCAGCACTTTGGAGTCAGAGACAAATAGATCTGAGTTCGTAGTCAGCCTGGTCTACATAGCGAGTTCCAGGACAGCCAGGGACTATGTCGAGAGTCCGCCTAAAAAACAAAACAAAAAAAAAACCCAACAAAACTCGGCACCGTGTCGGTGCTAATAATGGTACGTGGCCAATAATTACACGGAGCTATTTAAAATTCGCTTTAAAAACTAAGGAGAGTTTGTTTCTCTGAGGTACTAACTACATGTCAAATACCAAATGGCCGTGTGTGTCAAGCGGCTCTACCTCACTCAACACCAAAGGTCTAGAACGTGTTGGTCGTGACACAGAGTTCCACGAGACGAGTAACAATCAGAACTAGGGCGAACTCGT